TAAGATGTTTCTTTTTATCTACGAAGAACTGTGAGTAAACAGAAACATTTTTTCTTCTCGTTACGAGAGCCTCTGAGCAAATATATTGAGGCAGTAAGTGATCATTGAGATAAACTAACAAATAAGAAAGAGACTACTCAAGGAGACCTGAAGCCAATCAGCCCTGCAGGTTCCACTGAACCATTTTATTCAGTGCATAGTTAGAGGAAGTTTTATTTGAAGGCCACACTCAGTTTCTCAAAGCTAATGATTCCAAAGCAAATTCAGATTGAAGTCTGGCTGAGTTTTAAAATTGTGACATTATACTGTGTCGGTTTTATACTATAGCCTGTCATATAAGCAGAGTACTTAATTGTCTGCAGTAAACGTATCATAGATTAAAACCCTTACTACAAACTTGCCCTTTTAACACATATATTTATTTACTTGTACATTTTAGTCCATTTTACCTTTAAGGAACCCTGGCAGCTAAAATCACCCCTCTTTCTTGATTCTACCCACCTTTCTCTACCTCTCTCTGCTTAAAATATTATTTTTGTTTTTAAATATGCCCGCTGCAGTCCTAAGGAGTCAATGTCACATAAATCTGTCTCTGTGTGTGTGTGTGTGTGTGTGTGTGTGTGATGGCGCTTTTACTTTTGCTGCTGCTCTTGTTAAAATGCAAATCAGGATTATGGAACCCAGTTCTAACTGTTGCTTCCTGTCCCACATATAGGTTTCTCAGGAGACAGATAAAGTGGTCAGGCACTCCCATTTCTTTAAGAACTTGCCATAGTTTGTTGTGGTCCACACAGTCAAAGGCTTTTGCATAGTCAATGAAGCAGAAGTAGATATTTTTCTGGAACTCTCTGGCTTTCTCCATAATCCAGCGCAAGTTAGCAATTTGGTCTCGAGTTCCTCTGCCTCTTCGGAATCCAGCTTGTACTTCTGGGAGTTCTCGGTCCACATACTGCTGAAGCCTACCTTGTAGGATTTTGAGCATAACCTTGCTAGCGTGTGAAATGAGTGCAATTGTACGGTAGTTGGAGCATTCTTTGGCACTGCCTTTCTTTGGGATTGGGATGTAGACTGATCTTTTCCAATCCTCTGGCCACTGTTGAGTTTCATGATATCCTATGCAGGTGAATTTTATGATATCCTATGCAGGTGGATTTTAACCCCGCCCCTCTAGACCATGTCTACTCAGGGCGGCTTGTGTTTCCATTTCTTTTTTTTAAGATATCCTATGATATCCTATGCAGGTGAAAAAGATGTCAGTAATGGTTAATGCTTCCCCCTCACACACATACAAGAGATGTTCTGCTAATTGATGTACACGGATGTAGCTCATCATTTTGCTTCCAGAATCCTATATATATATAACCTAATAGGATATAATGCATTGAGATTGAGCTGGGAGGATCATGAGCTCAGATTCTTGCTCGTTGGGCTACCTAGCCCTCATTGTCTTTTTTCAACTCATCTCACTAGCTTCCTCTGCCAATAAAACAGAATAAGCTAATCTTTAAGGTATAGCTTTGCCTTCTTCCGGGGGTTTCCCAACCTTGCTAGAACCTTTGGATTTTGGAGAAGATGCCATGGGCTCCACCACAAAATGGCTGCTAAAGGGGGATCAGATATTCACAAAATGGCCACCAAGGTAGATACATCTAGGAGCAAACTGCTTTGGACTAGCAGGTGGCGGAGGCCAGGAAGACAAGTGGTCCAAGAACCTGAATAAAAAGCAGAGGTGGGGGTCTCAGCCCCATGCACAAAATAATTCCTTTCAATCCATAGTTTTAGCTCGAACAGGCCTTCCGTTTTCACAACTGGTAGGCCAATTATTTCCCAGAAGGAAACCTAGAACATATATCCGGCTTGTGTGTCTCCAGACAACTCAAGCGATGAGCTAAAAACCATGCTCTGGGGAGAGGTTCCTCCTTGTTTGCATCTGGAGAGAAAAGTCTACGGTTTCTCCAGCTGCTTTTACTTGCCGGGCGAATCGTGAGGGAACAAATAAGAAACGTTCTTTTGGATTCTGCTTCCTTGTGCCCGTTGTTTTTGAGATGGCAGAGATACCCCGATAGCTGCCAACTGGCCTTTTCCAAAATGACTGATAAGGGCTCCAGACAGATAGATACATCTTGAGATACGGTCTGTCTTTCCACCACATCTCTCAAGATAATGATCAGTAAAATTGGGAGGAGAAGCACTGAGGAAAATGGGCTGACCCTTTCCTCCAACCCCTTCCATGTCCTTCTGCTGATGCCACAACTTGGAATTGTCCAACCAGACCTTTCTTTCTTTCTTTCTTTCTTTCTTTCTTTCTTTCTTTCTTTCTTTCTTTCTTTCTTTCTTTATTTATTTATTTATTTATTTATTTATTTATTTATTTATTTATTTATTTATTTA